AAAAGGGAGAACGGGGAGAACACGAAGTCCTGCTCTGAGCAGCCACCCTGCTCCTTGCATGGCCATGTGGCACCCTGCTCTGCTCCTGGGAGGCTCTGACATAGCCATGGCCCCCTGTGGACTCGGTTCTGCCCCCCACAGAGGGGTCCTCCTTGTCCATTATCTTCCATGGCCACCTGAGAGGCAGGTCTTAGGGGGTATTCCATCTCGGGGGGCCACACAGCTTCCTGTTGGTGTGAGGTTGGGGTCCTGGGGGGTTGCCTCAGGGATTGGCTGTTACCATCAGCCTTGGGTTGATTATTTTGGGTAATACATTTCACTCAAAAACTTGGTTGGCTTCTGGTCTTTAGGGAGGGGGTCAGTTCCATTGACCACAGCCAAAGAGCTGCTCTAACCTAAGCCTTACACATGACCACTCCAATTATTGACCCACTGGCCTCTGCTGTGCCCTCACCCTAATGGAAGTGTCACTGTATTGAGGTGATGAAAACAGTGACCTCAGCGGGAGACATCCCCTTCCTATGCTCTTTTCCAGGGGTCCCTCTCTTAGATGGAATTCTTAAGAGAAGGTTCTGGAAAAAGACCTTGTGTCTCAATTTTATCTCCTGCTATGGCTGTCATTTGCAGGCAAGAACTTGCTTTAGTCTGGGGTAAAAGAAACTGTGTGTGTGTGTGTGTGTGTGTGTGTGTGTGTGTGTGTGTGTGTGATCCTGCAAGACTCCAAACTCTGGAACTTTCCATCCAATCTGATGGCAGGCCACTGGGAGTGGGTCCCTCTCTAAGCGCTGTCACCTTCCCTTCTGTCACTGCTACTTGTCTCCATCTGTCACTGGTCTCAATCCTTCCTTTCTTGTAGAACGTTGTCCAAAGTAGCCAATAATGGCCCCATTCTGGATTTTTCCTCACATTTTCCCAATTCTATAGCCTCAGTTGGCATATGGTCTGTGTCCCACCTTGTAGCAGGTGACGGCCAAATGTCTTGCCACTGCACAACTCCATGGAGCATGAGATGCAATAGTGAGTCCACTGCCTGGAGCTTGACCTTACCACAATGGCCCTGCTGCCATCACCAGCATCCCTTTGGTGCTTGGAGCTCAATCGCCACCATCCTCTGGAGCTTCCCTCTCGACTGACACCATATGTGCTTGAATCTGATTGGTGGAGCTCAGGTCACATGCCTGTGCCCTGGCTGCAGAGGAGGCTGGGAAGGGATTTTCATGTCTCACGAGGTTGCATCTGATTGGTGGAGCCAGGTCCCGTAATTGAGCCCTGTGTGCAAAGGAGCCCGGGAAGAGGATTTTCTCCACTCTACCGCAGGGTTGCAAGACTTAAGGTGGGCAAGTCTCCCAAACAGAGCCCGAGTGTTCTCAAGGTATGGGGCAGCCAGAAAACGTGACAGGTGTCACCCCATGGGCCATGTCCCCTTCCTCACCTCCTCCTCCTCCTCGCTTCTGTATATCTGAGGGGTCCTGTTTCAACTGTGAGTCGATGGCCCGCATTTCTATCTCTAGGCCAGACCCCTCCCCTGAGTTCCTAATGCCCCTAGGGCCCTTGTGTTTGCTTGTTCCACAGGCCTCTCTCAACTTTCTGTATCCACCGGAGAGCTCCCAGTTTCCCTTTTTAATCTATGTATTCACCCTCAGTCGGTGTACCCCATCTCAGCCACTGGAACCACCGTGTTAAAGCCTGCAGTGTATGAGATATCCTTGCTTCTCCTTCTTTCCTTCCAACCTCAGATCTGCCCCAGCAGCAAGTTGCCTTGGGCTCTGTATTCAAAAATATCCCAATTCTCTCCACTTCCCTCTGTCCTGCTGCCATCACTGTCAACCAGGTAGGCCTCAGTTTTCAACTGGAGGGCTCCAAAGGCTTCCTAATAGGTCTCTCGTCTCCACTTGTGTTTCTTCCAGTCCATTCTCCACATAGCAACAGAAGAGTGGCATTCCTTAAGCCTACGTGGGAGCCCATGGCTCCTCTGTCTCAAGCCTTCCAACAGCTTCCTATGTATCTAAGAATAAAATCTACACTCCTTATGGCTTTTGTGGCCTCAGCTATCTGTTCCTGCTTCTCTTTTCCTGCTCCAGCTGCCTTAGTCTTTCAGGGGGTTGAGCATGGCAACTTCTTTCCTGCCTCAGGGCATTTGCACATGCTCGTCGCTGTCTGTCATGTTTTCCCTTGCATTCTTCCCACGACTGGCTCACTCTCTATCCTTCCTATCTCATGCCTTGAAATGGCATGCTGTCAAAGAGGACTCTGATCACTTAGTGTTACCATCATCTCAGTCTGTTTATTTTCTTTGCAATACTGGAACACTTACTGGTCCATAATCGTCTTATTTATTTGACTGTCTCCTTGTCTGCTCCTCAAATTGAATACCAGGCCCATGAGGGGGAGACCAGCCTTGTCTTATTCACTGACTGGCAAAGTCCCTGGGACAGTAGGCACTCCATAAATTCATATTGTTTGAACATTATCTGTCTGTCCCTCAAACATAGCCCAGCACCAGGTGCTCCAGAAATATTTCTTGACTCATCTGGCCTGAACGCTTGGGCAGATGTTGCCTGTAGGAGATGTTCCTGTGGGAAAATGGTTTGGCCAACCCTGTGGCCGACTCGACTCTCAAGCGGGATTCACAACAAATGGATCTGATCTTGAACCTTTTTAAAAACCATCAGTGAAATGCCGCCAATCATCTGGCCCTCAGGTGTGCACAGGCCCCATCTCCTGCCCACCATGAATCGAGGCTCCGTGGGTATTCCCACACTTGTAAAAGGCGGGCTCCCTGGAGGCCTCAGAGCTCCAGGTTGTTTGGCACATTGACATGAGTGATGAAAATTCTCCAAAGACTCAGGTGAAGTGTGTGGGGGAGCAGATCTCCCAGGCAGGTCAAAGGTGTTTTGATTCATGACGTGTTGCCCTTTTCCTGTTGAGTACAGGAGGGAAAGCATGTACAGGATAGTTTAGTACAGGCTTGTGAAGTAATCCTGTGGGCCTCAAATCTCTAGTTTATAGCATTAGAGTATGTGAGAGTGGAAAGGGAACCCTTCTCAAATGGTAACCATGTGTAGCCCTTGCTAGGCGCCAGCTGTATGCCAGTCCCCAGATAGGCCTTTGCCCACACCGTGTGCAATCTTCACACAGTTCTGCAAGGCAAGTGGGTCTGCATTTTGTAGTCGGAGCCTCTGAAGCTCTGAGCAGCCCCCAAGCTCAAGAGTGGGAGAGCTGGGACTGTGGCCAGGCCCACCTTTTCCAAACCCTCTGAAGGGAAGCTGAAGCCAAAAAGACAGCCTTGGCCAGGCTCCTCTGCAGGTGAGGTCACCCCTTGGAGGTTCCTGGGTTTGTTCCCCTTGTGCGGGTGGAGACTTGGCAGCCTGGGAGTGGGAGCCACAGAGCCGGCAGGTGGGGGGCTGGCCGGGGCTCCACCTTGGCTGAGTGGCCTGTCTAGAACAGGTCCTGGGAGGTCACTCAGTCTCTCACAAGCTTCCCTTAGGGTGTTGGGGCCGGTCCCAGCATGTGGATCGACAGCCTCGGCCCACTTTGGGGAGCACCTTCTCCTAGGGAAGGAGGGTCCTGGGCGGACTCTTCAGTGCTCATCAGTTTTTACCATTTACTGTGTCTCCTCCATGTGGCATTCATTCCACATTTATCAGAACACTTGTCCCATTACTGACAGCCGCCGTGCCATTGTTGTTATTATCTTGCTGGTTGTTTTCATACTGAGGTGGGAGTCTGGCTCGTTTGTTTTGTATCCACAATGCTTGGAAGCAGGAGTATGGAACAGTTGGATAGATGGATACATGGATGGATGAATAGATGGGTGGATGGGTAGGTGGATGGATGGGCCAATGAGTGGGTGGGCGGATGGGTGGGTGGATAGATGTATGGGTGGATGGGGGGAAGGGTAGATGGATAAGTGGATGGGTGGGTGGATGAATGGATGGGTGGGTAAAATAGGTTGGATGGGTGGGTAGATGGGTGGATGAGTGGATGGACAGATGAGTGGGTAGGTGAATGAGTGGGTGGGTGGATGGGTTAGTAGATGGTTACATGGGTGGATGGAAGGGCGGATGGGTGGATGGTTCGGTGGATGGCTGAGTGGGCGGGTAGATGAGGAAGTTGAGAGCAGAGAGGGGATTTGCTTCCACTTGCCCGGTCAGCCATCACAGAGGCCAACAGCACCCCGATCCTCCTTGACTGTCTTCCTTTTGTCCCTGTTGGTCTCTCCTCCCTTTGGGCCCCCACACCATCCCATTGGTCGGTGTGATGGGGCCGGGGTATGGCTCTGGTCATCAGAAGCGGGGACTGTGGTGAGGGAAGAAGCAGGGAGGGGTGTGTGAACGGGGCCCACTGCTATGGTTCCCCAAGTGGAAACTTGAAGACTCTGAACCCTCATCCCTCTGGGGTAGTGCTGCCAATAGAACTTTCTTCAATGATGGATTGTTCTGTGTCTGTGCTGTCCAGTATGGTAACCACTAGCCCCCTGTGGCATTGGACACTTAAAATGTTGAAATATTAGTGTGATAGAAGAGCTGACTTTTTAAATTTATTTAATTTTCTTGTTTATTTTTTACTGAGATATAAGTACACATAACATTATATTAGTTTCAGGTGTACAACATAATGATTCGATACTTGTATATACTGTGAAATGATCACCACAGTGCATCTAATTAATATCCATCACTACACGTACTTACGAATACTGTTTGCTCATGATGAAAAGTTTTAAGATTGACTGTCATAACAACTTTCAAATATGCAATGTAGTATTAATTATAGCCACCATGCTATGAATTACATCCCCAGGGTTTCTTTTATAACTGGAAGTTTGTCTCTTTTGACCACTTCCCTTTTCACCCACCCCCCATCCCCACCCTGGCAACCGCCAGTCTGTTCTCTGTATCTATGAGTTTGGTTTTTTTGTTTGTTTTGTTTTTGATTCCACACATAAGTGAGATCATACAGTATTTGTCTTTCTCTGTCTGACTCCTTTCACTTAGCAGAATGCGTGCCCTCGAGGTCTATCCATGTTGTCAAAAATGGTAAGATTTCCTTCCTTTTTATGGCTGAGTGATATTCTGGTGTGTGTGTGTGCGTGCGTGCCCATGCGTTTATCTGCCACATTTTCTGTATTCATTCATCTCTTGATGGACACTTAGGTTGCTTCCATGTGTTGGTTCTTGTAAATAATGCTGCAGTAAATGTGGGGGTACAGATATCTTTTGGAGTTAATGTTTTCCCTGCCTTCAGGTAAATACCCAGAAGTGGGATCGCTGGATCATATGGTGATTCTATGTTTAATTGTTCAAGGAGCCTCCACACTGCTTTCCATGCCAATTTGCATTCCCACCAAGAGTGCACACAGATCTCTTTTTCTCTACCTCCCGTCAACACTGGTCATCTCCTGTCATTCTGACAATAGCCATTCTCATATATGAGAGATGACATCTCATTGTGGTTTGGGTTTGCATTTGCCTGATGATTTGTGATGTTGAGCACCAAAATTTATTTGATTTTAATTAATTTAAATTTCTATGCCAACAGCCAAAGACGAGTAGTGGCTAACCATTTGAGGAAGCATAGCTCTGGTGGGCTGGGTCAGCCTTATTGGTAAAATGGCCTCGTCCAAGGAAGAGTCCCAGGCCAGAGAGGCCCCTGCCTCCTAAGCCTGAGAACCCAGGATGGAGCAGGGGGAGAGATGTCACTAGGGCAGAGATATTGGCAGGCACAGCCTTGGGGGCTCAGGTGTACCTCACTGTGCAGCATAGGCTGGAGCCTTGCAGGCTGGGCTCAGAGCATCTCCTGATGGCTCGTGGCCTTCTGAAATAAGACCCCATGTGGGCTCAGCCTCCGTGACACTCGGGTGGGTGTCTTTGTTTTCGTGGAAAGGGTAAAAGCAGAAGTCCTGTTGGCAGTGATTGCGGAATATCCTGAAGACATGTTTATGGAGTGGCCTTTTGCTCTCCTTCCCCTTTTCTCCATCTGCTTGCTTGGAGCACCCTTTGCAACCCCCACCAGGAATGATGGAGGAGAAAGCCAGAAGTGGCCTGGGCCCCATGTTTAAGCATGCTAGCTCACCTGCTATGGTGGGAAATCCTGGCGGGGCAAGGCTTACCAGGCCTGACTCTCTTCTGTCCTCTCTGGACTCCACGAAGCTCCAGCCATGTGTCTCCAACACACGCACTGTCTTGACCTGCGCTGAGGGGCTCAGAGTGGCCGCCACTCCTGCTTCCCACCACCGCCCCTCCTGCCCTCCTGGACCAGCTTCTTCTAGGTGTCAGGACTGGCTTTGAATGCATTCTTTCTTTTTTATGGGTCCAACCCTTGTCCTCTGGGCTTTTTTGGACCAAAGACAAACAGAAAACCAAAACTTTCTCTCTCAAAAGAGCTGGGCTCTTCCAACATTAAGCTTTGGCTCCTACTGTTCCTCTTCCTGAGTCTCAGCAACCTGCAGTGGGTGCCAAAACCTACCCACGCATGCTCTGTTCTCTGCTGTGTGGCCCCCACCCAGAGGACCCCCAGTCTAAAATAACCCCCTGTCTGAATGGGCTAAATGATGGAGTAGCATAATGTACAAAAAGCCCCCAAACAGAAAACAAAGCCCTTTGATTAATATGTCAAAGTAGTATCTTATCACAAACAGAAATAGCTCTGTGTGAATTGAAAACAATTTTCCAATTTTCCTTTTCCTCATTCTGTTAATGAGAAAGAACCTTCTTGGCTGAAATGTAGACTAAGGGGTTACCAGGGAAAAGAAAACACATGGATTTCTTCATTGACCATCATGAGTTCAATGTATTGGAGCCATAAAGCTGGGGGTTCAGCATCTATGCCCAGGAGCCCTGTGGGGATCTTGGAGGTTGCAGGGGGTGATGTACTTTTTTCCTAGAGCAGTGGGTGGGCAGGGGGCTGGGGCTGCCAGATTTTGACACATGTCTGAGAAGAGGGGCCCAGACCCAGACAGTCCCCAAGGTCTGTGTAAGTCCTCAGGCTCCTCCCCAGTGCAGCGTGGCCCCTCTTTCCAACCTCCAGGCCCAGGCACCTCAGGGTTGTCTGTCCCATTGGTGATGTCAGGAACACCTGAACACTTAAAGTGAGCTCCTCAGGGAGGTTGTACATAAACAGGGATCTACTCTACATTTAGGAATGAATGGTGGAATTTCAGGCATCAGCTAATGGGTGGGCAGCTTGATTTTGGGGTCTGGCATTTTCCAGTGCCCTTGAAATTACTTGTCACCTGGGTTTAAGGCCCTGACTGCAGGGCTGAGACCAAGTATATGAAGAGGACCCTCACGAGGCCTCCCAGGGGAGGACCATGAGCTCCAGCTTTTATGCTTAGAACTGACCAACCTAGCAACCTCTTCCCACCCCAGAGAGTCTGTGGAGAGTTGGGAGGCTGGGAACTTAGTCCCCGCTCTGCCCTAGCTGCCTGTGGGAAATGGCAGGCCCCAGCCCCTCTCTGCTGTCAGATCTTTCTTCTGTAAAGGGAAGTGGGTCACCTTCACAGCAGTGAGCACATGGAGGGGAGGATCCTGGGTTCTAAATTCCGCTCCCATGCTGGGGACCTGAGGCTCTTCGGGAGACCAGCTGGTTCTAGGTCTGGGGCAGGAGCAGCCTGAAGCAGGCCTGGGACATCTTGTGCCAGAAAGCAAGTAAGTGCTCAAAGATTTCTGGGATAATTGGGACATCGAAAAGCATAATGACTGTAATTGAGCACAAAGAACAATACATACAAATCATAGGCCCATTGTGATCATCAAAAAAAAAAAAAAAAAGAAAAGAAAAAGACAAGGAAGGAAAAAAGGGAAGGAAGGAAGGAAGGAAGGAAGGAAGGCCCATTTCCCACCATTGGAGGAGGGCACTGCACTTTGTTTGGAGAAGCACTTGTCCATCCCAGGGAGTAAGGGAAGTTCTTCTTCATGGGAGAATGTCAGATAATGTAGAAAGAGGGAGAGAATCAGAAAGTCACTGACCTGCAACCCTCAGTGTGTAATTGATTCAGGCCAGGACCATCGGTGGAAGCTGAAACCATTTAGCGAGAGGTTACTGGGGCCTGGGGTATTCATAGGGCACCAAAGTATCACACTACCATTATCTTGGCAATCACAAAAGCACACGAGCCCTTTGGGAAAGAGATCAAGCCCTCTTTGAGCTGATGAAGAGCTGCCCTGGGTGAGGCTCCCTGCCCCAGCTTCCCAGACCCCTCTGTGGGTCTTTGGGAATGGAGGGCAGCAAGTCTGGTTATGCATGTGGCTCAGGGGTCCAGGGGCAATTCACAGTGTCGGGGACTGGGTTCCTGAGAGATGCCTTCCTCTGAGCAGAGATGCTTCCTTTGATAGTGGCAGGCAGGACCCTGGGGGCTGACTCTACCCTCTGGCGGGTGGCCATGGTGCGGCCTCCGGACCTCCCAGTGTCCGAACCTGGAAAAACATCCCTGCCAACTCTGGACAGTTTATGAAATAAAGATACTATAGAAATCTGTCATTATTGTTTCTCAGTCTTTCTTTGTCTTGAGTGAGGTCTGAGATAACCCAAACACCACTCGGTGGCGGCATGGCTCTGTGAAATTTGGCACCTGCTTACAGAGGATGTTCTGATGTCCAGTCGGAACAAGGTCGTTCCTAAGTCTTGGTGTTAGGTGACAAAAGCAAGTTAGAGCAACACATGGGCTGAGAACTGATCTCACGGGCACACGTGCACACACACACACTCACACCCACACAGACACTCCTCACTTGGGGTGCTGAGCATATGGGTACTAAGTGTAGAAGAACAGGACCCAGTGTGCTCTGCTACTGATGGAGGGGAGGAAGCAAGGGTTTGGGGTGTGTGTGTGTGTGTGTGTGTGTGTGTGTGCGCACGTGTGCTCATGCCTGGCTTGGTCTGTCCTTGTATGTTACCTGTGGAATCAGAAACGTAAAACAGGAGGTCCGGCAATCTGGAATGTGTGTGGGACAGGGAATCATATGAAGGAGGCGCTGCGTGTGCCAGGGTGTTGGATGTTTCTGTCCAGATGGGTCCCCATCACATCCCTGCACATTCCCTTCCACCTTCCCTGGCACAAACGGGGGGACTTTCCACATTGTGTCCCCTCCTGGCTCACACAGCATGTCACAGCTGTGGGCTACTTGACTCCCAGCAGGCTGGCTTGTGAGTCCCACTTCACAGAGGAGGAAAACCAAGCTCAAAGAGCCTGGGGACTTGTTCAAGTTCCCACAGCTGGGAGTGGCTTCTCCTGAACCCACACATTCTTTCCACACCTCACCCCAGGCCCCATGCTGCCCCTCCACCCCGCCCCCGCACTGCCACCCAGCTGCCTGCTCACATCCTCTCCTGTTCTGGCCCAGAAGGAGACCCAAGTCCTCCGCTTAGCGGTTCGGCCCTGCCCTCTCTGCGTCTTCTCTCCCGAGCGCTATCCACCCTTCCTGGTGTCAGCTAAGACGGCTGCTCCCTACTCCCAAGTGCCCAGGCCTTGGTCTCTGCCCCACATTCACGGGCCACGGACACTACTCAGATGCTTGGCCTAGGAGCTCAGAGGAATGACAGTGACTTCTTCCTGGAAGATGCATCTGGTGCATCTGGGACGAGGTGGTCTTCCTGGAGGGACAGACACATGAGGCCCGTTTGTGTGTGTGCAGGATGGAGGACTGCTTGAGGCTGCTAGAAGAGGGCAGGTGACCCCAAGTGACA